TTGTATTCTGCATGGTTCCCTGACCCTACTTCAGAAGAAACAGAGTAATTTATAGACGTCGGGGAATTGTCAGGTCAGGGAACCAGACTAGCTGGCTTGCACTCGTTCAGGGATGTGTAACCGATCACGCCGATTGCAAACAAAATGCAGACTAACTAAATTTGGTAAATTGGGGCAGTATTTGAAAGAAGTCAGTTTTTTTCAAATGATGGTCGGTAGACCATCGTTAAAAATTGACAGCACACCAGGTGCCATGATTTCACTGGATGCTTGAGACTATCATTCACTTAGTCCAGTAAGGTATTTCATAACAACTTGGTAGTTTTTTTTAAGTTTGCAAATGTTGTACAAACATTACCTTTCAGAGTGGTAATCATGATTATTTCGTCTTCAAAAACCGGTTTACAGAACATACTTTACAGTATACTTTAGTATCAGTTGCATGTACCGGTAATAATGTGTGGTGGCAAAATTTATCAATCAATTGAATTAAATACAATGTACATTGTGTACACGTGTGAATAGTTTGGATTAGGGTCTTTTATATTTACAACCTTACAGTGTTGAATGCAAATGTACAGCACAAATGTATGAACAGTGCGTATACAATGTCCCGGTATGCTCTGTAATTATGCACTCACTTCTACATGTACAAAAATCCTATTTAAACCTCCAAGGGGCGACCTTGGAAATGCAATTTGTAAACGACAATCCAATTAAAACCTCACAATTTCTATATGAAAAAATAATCGCTAATTGTGTGTGTCTGCCTGAGGCACCGGTATGCACACGTGCGATGTATACGTTATGCATAAATTGCTTCAGGAACTTGTATGTAAAGCAGTTGCTGTCTATACTGGTTCTTATTATTTTCGTTTGTAACTTGAAAAAAAAATTCAGTATGGTCATGGTTCGGGTGTGGATTTTTTTTGCCCAGTAGACCTCTTGGAGAGATTTGCTACAAATGATATTTTACTTGAAATGTCAGAAATATTTTTTTATATAAAGAAAACAAGGTACATCAAATGTGATATACCAGTAAAATGTTTGGGAGATAACATTACTTTCAGAATGAAAATGTTCCGTCATTTTAAAATACTTACATTTCTAAAAAACCTCAATTAAAAAGAAAAGGAAACAGACTTTGTAAAATTCATAATTTGTATGACGTCAACTGCAAGTTCATTCCTTCGTAAGAAATCAGCTGGAAGTAACAATAAATAGGTCCTGGGCAAATGTCGATGAGGGAACACAGAACAAAATATTCACTGGCGACCGTTGCTTAAAGAGCAAGATCATTATGCGAGGTGAAAAAACAGCGGGGTAACCAACCGTTCATGAGGATTGAATAACACGACCAGACCAGGCTCATGATTGGGCAGTGCTTTCATGGATCAAATGCCAATAAGGTGACCAAATACATATTGACACAAAGGAAAAGGGAAAACAAAAATGCGGGCCCTGGGAGATATTCCAATATGGCCGCTCAGAACAGCTTGGAAAATACCGGAGTATAAAACATACGTAAGGTTCAGATCAGCATGTTTGTCATTTTCCATTTGGGGCATGACACTAGCACCACTGCTGAAGCCCTACGGCATTTAGGTTCGCTCCTGCAAAACACACATCCACACACATACACAAGAGGACTTGGAAAGATGCAAATCAGTCTGGTTGCCATGGCAACCTAACCTAGAGGCATATTCTTACAGGAACAATGACTTTAGACACAAGACTCTGTACGCCGGGCAAGTCGGATGCGCGCACACACACACAAATCGGGCTCCGTTTTGCAAAGAATGTAAGGCCGGGTTACCATGGCGATGGTGTGTACGGCGCATTTTTGACCCTGCCGGCACGCTAACAACAAAGCTGGATCATTTCCCCCGTCCCTAGAAGAATAAAAAAAAGAAGGAGAGGGCGAGGGTAACAACCTCTCCCTTGAGAGAGTCACGGACATGATGCACGATTTTTGTCGCGACGTGATGAAGCGATAAGGCAACTGGCCAATGTTTGATGAGGCAATCATCGTACAGCGGCCGGTACATTAATTTGCTGTGACACTGATCAATCAATTATCTACTGAAGGAGAATAACTGACGATGAAATGGGGATAATCACGGCTTGACTGGGCAATGAAAAGACAACTTTATTAAGGATGTATGTAAACATCTGTTACCATATTAAACAGGAAACCAGTGTCGTATTTGAAACAGCCTCGGATTGATATTGGTTCTTGCTTGGAGTCATATTAACGAAAACAATGGAAACAATATTACATTAATTTAATGTCATGAAATATTTGGGGAACGATTGAATTTTCGAATTCACCAGAGTTGAAATGGGTTCCAGTTTTGCCACTTTGCATCACAAATTCTCACTGCGCTGTCACAAATTTGCATGCTTGAATTCCTTGCTCATTTATATTTCTCCTGACCGCCAGTGATATCTTCTTACTTTTGCATTAACTCAATGTCAATGATGTAAGTTCAATGTCAAGTCATTTCCATAGTATTGGTGGTTAGGCTGCACAGCCTGAATTTATAAATCAAATTAATAAGTACATGTATATGTACGTAAATGCAAAATAATGAAATATATTTTCAAATGCATTGTTCTTGTACCTGTACCGGTACTGTAATGTTCTGTACAGCATGCCATCCCAAGTCAACTCTGAACAAAAAATCAAATAAGTTTGGATTTTATCCAATGTATACAACGATATTTACTCCATGCAGATAATGATTGGAAAAAACTAATTTTAAAAGCACTTCATCTGAATACTTCAGAGAGCGATAAATTATGAAAAAGCCAGCCACGGCAAACCATATTGTGGACCTACATCCCATCTTGGATCTAATCAACTTGGATCGGTTAAACCCACATCTTCCTTTGCCACTCAAAATCCAATTTCCAGTCTGGTCCCTTGATGTTTTCCCCCGGGGACGAAAGCCTCTGACAGGACAAGCTAGTACGAGGCCGGCCCCGTCGTAATTGTTACCCAAGTTTGCCTGGCTGTGAGGTTACTGTGGGTTGGTCGGCGACTAGCAGATTGATTAAGAATCTGTCTGAGAGACAGCGGATGGACAGCATTTTGATAGTGTGGGCTTGGTCCGAAACTGGATTTGAATTCTGTCCACTAATGCAGCCAGTATCCCTGACAAGTGTGTCTTCGAGTTCGCCGTAGGGTAGTCTGCAGTCTGATGCCGGCCATGCGTTGGTTGTCAGATTGACCTAAGACGGAGAGGTCAGCCTAATTTGAAATATATTCGTGCGTACCAATAGGATGCTTTGTTAAGTGTGATGCAGGAGAAGTAGGCCAATCAAACTATAGGGGAGGCGTCACATCCAAGACGTTTAGTAACCAATAAGATAATGGAAGCACGAGGCCGTTGCCTGTCCTCATATAGTACCAGTATACTAGCCCAGGTTGGACGATGTCTTCATTGTATTACGACTGACGTCCAGGATATTAATTCTACTACCGTACCATAGCAACAAAAAATATAACACATTATTTTCATATACATGTATTTACCTGATGGAGGAAGCTGAAATTTTGTTTATGCAAAAGGTAAATATGTTCATGGGCGACGTGTTTACCGAAAATAAACCGCAGATCTATCTAAACTTCTGTCGAAAACATTCTTAGTACGAACTCCCCGTGTGAAGACTATCGCACGCCTTTGCGCATGCAACACAGTTACTATGCCATGTTGCGCTGTGTGCATGCACATGCACGCATGCATGCGCGTAAGTCTTCACACGACATGTTCGTACTAAGGATGTTTTCAACGAAAGCGTGGATCTGCGGTTGTTTTCGGTAAACACGTCGCCCACGGATAACCTTTTCTAAACCCAGCGTATGAATAATTCTGGACACAAGGAATATAAACTTCCTCCATCAGGTAAAAATATGAAAAAATGTGTCATATTTTTTTCTGCTATGGCAGAAGACATTCATACCCTGGACTCCGTCGCGCGTACACAACAGAGGAGTCCAACCTGGGCTACATGTACACCTGGGCGTGTTCATCTATTCAAACCATGGATGAAAAATACCAGAGAACAAAAGAGAACAATATCGTCCACGATTCCCAGCATACATCCGCGATTGGGGTCGTGTACAAAACCTGTGGGAGTCTTCCTAAAAAGTTTAAGTACAAACAAGAAAGGGACAATAGGACACGTGTCCACGATCGACGGTGTGAACGCGCTTGTGTGTATGCCTGACGGGAGTCAGGTTGGTGCAGGGGTTACTTTCCTCGCCTTCCACCTCTAGGGCCCGGGTTCGATTCCTGCCCTGGTCCACATGTGGATGAGATTTTCAGTCCCCACCTGATTCCGTGGGTCTCCCCCAGATTATATCTTCTGGGGTTTTCCTCCCACCTCTAAAACTGTACTTTCTTCTCATTGTCTCCTCTCTACAGGTTTCTTCAGGCTTGCGAGCTACAGTGCCTGGGGCCCTTTTGAGGAATCCTTGGTTTCATTACCAGAAATAAATAATAACAATAATAATAACACGTGTGTTATGACGTCAAGTCTCCGGTTCACCGTGGGGGCACTATCAACAAGATGAAACTAATCCTGTCTCGGCAACTTTGGTACTCAGACCTGGAAAATTCAGAGCATAAGTCATGAGTTTAGTATTCAAGCTAATGTGCATGAGTGAGGTACATTCTCAGAATTTGGTGAGTCCCAAGTGCCAAAGTTTCCAAGAGTGGATTTGAAGTATCTTGTTGAATATTGCCCTCTACCGCCACAGGGGGTTGACCGCGCTTGCTAGTGATCAGGACCAGCTGCGTATCTGTTGGAAACAAAATCTGAATCCAATTTTGGAGCATGATTACATTTGGTTGCTTAGATTCCTACAAGGGAAACAAATCTTTGGCCAAGAACGTTGTTTGTGCATAAAAAACTAAACTTTGCAAACATACAAAAGAAATTTGGGTGAAACAAGATTTGAGTTGATCAATTAATTTGAAGTGATTGGCTCTTACCTAGATATAGCAAGATCTGCCTTCTGTCTGGCGATATTGGCAGCTTGATTAGCGGCTTCCACAGCTCGTTCCACTCGATCGCTGATCCGTTTGGATCCAATCACAAACAGTTTCTTCTTTCCCGAGGCCACGAGTATATTGTTCTTCCACTTGCCTTCCTCTTTGTGCCCATCCGGGTAGGTCAGACATCCGTAGCCATGGCGTTTGTTCTGATGCCACTCCCCGGCGTACTGGAAGCTGTCCGAACGTTGGCTGATTCCGACACCGGATCGCTTATCCTGTTTCCATTCTCCGAGGAAAACTTCGGTGATGTCCCCGGTCGCCTCATCGTCCATCAAGTGACTCGGGTGACTGAAGTCACTGTCCATGACCGAGGATTGCAAGGAGCTTGAACTCATACGACTCTCGCTTTCAGTGCTCTTCAAGGAGTCTTGGTGGTTCAGCTTCGGCCGGAAGGAGGCTACACTACCTCCGGTACTGTCGGAGCTTTCCCTGTGACCCCCTGACCCGTTTTTGTCCCGTTTCCCCCGTTTGGTTCTGAGCCCAATAAGGGCTTTGCTCACACGGGTGGCATCCCCACGTTTCATCGTCCCACTTCTGCTCTCTGTGTCCGTCGTGCCATCGTCCGAGACATCCAGGACGAAGCCTCCTCGCTGACCGAAGTTATCCGGGACGGACGCGATGGATCCATTCTCGTGTTCGCTACGCAGGGATGTAAGGGATGTACGGAGTGACGGGCGTACGATGGACGCCATTCCATAAGGCACACTGTTGCGGATCCCACAGCCGTGACGCATTCCACCGACCCACTGACCCTGATAGATACCTGACAAGAAAACAACACAAAACATTTTTCTTTAGCAAACATCTTTAAAAAATGAGCTACATGTATGAGGACGTACAATGAATATGTATGTGTAATACCATGAATTAAAACTTTCATTTGGAAAATCACGGACTTAATTGAATTTGAGAATGTTCAGTACATTTATTTTGGCAACTATTTTGAGAGTTTATTCTTTCCATTTTTTTGTTTTTTTGAGTCAAGCTTTGAACCATCTCTTTGTAAAATAAGGACTTTTTTGGTACTGCAGGTATAAAAATAAAAGCCACAAAAAATTTCACAAGTTCAATTGGTAATCTTTTTATCCATATTAAGTTAGAGACTAGGATTTCACAGCACAGGATGTTTAAAAAACAACCACTGTTTTTCAAAGACAAATTATAGCAGTATGTACATATGTACATGTCATGTACATGTACATGTATACGTATTTAACTGAACTTTTACATGATGCAAATAAAGACACTAAATTGGCCAGGGATACATGTAACATAGATCTCTGACTGGCAAACATCCACGTTAAAAGCACTGGGTAATTCCATTGCAACAGTGGGGCAATTTTATTTGACTTTTTGGTATTTCTTTCCAATTTGCAAACCAAAATCCCCGTGACACAATTACGAGTTCTCAAACCCAGATTCCTTGATCTCGTTGATCTGGTGACTGCGCGGGAAAAAATGCACGCAGAGCGACGAAAATTGCTCCGCAATTCCTCCAAGGAGTTTGAGACCTTTGAATGGGAAAATGTCAAAAGTGGCCCTGTGGGGGATGGGCTGGGATGATGAGCTACAATTCAAGATTTGCGTCGGAGTGGTTTTAATGTTCTTCTCTTACTCTCAGAAATATATCCTCATAATACCAGGAAGATTACGCAGTAAAGAGAGTGAATTTGGAGAGGGAATGGCGCAAGGAAAAAATCTGGCAAAGTTAGAGACGCATTTTTGTTGAAACACGTAAACTGGACATGTACTTATGTGCATGTACAAAAATGTATGTACACGTACCGTACGTTGCTGTGCAGGATACATGTAATTGAGATTAAAAACAAATACACATTTTGATAAAACTGTTTATGTGCCACTGTCACCATAGAGGAAGGAGACTGATAGCCCACACTTAGGTCCAGTAATGAATGGATTAATTTTGCAATGTTATTTGTGAGACGTTGCAGCAAAATGAGACAGAACTAGGCACAGGCCAATAAAAAAAAAATGAATGGGGTGATTTGTTTTTAATTTTCAGATTCATGGATATTTGTTATTTTTGATGTGTCTACTATGCATGTTTTTAATAAAAAATCGTGGAATACCTGTGTTTTATATGAAAAACAATTGCAATCTTTCACCTCCATGAATACACAACTTGAAACAGTATTTTGCCTATTGGACATATGTCGATAAATGCAAACTTTCAAACAACCATAACGTGTCACCGGAGTGTCTGATTGAACTGCAACAAACAGTAACGTAAGGAGCATATTCTTCTCAATCCAAATACCCGGAAACCCTCATTTTGACCTCTGTCTAGTTCTGTTTCATTTTGCCAGAATGCCTTACATTTGCTTGGCTGAACTGCACGTTGCTATTAGTACATTCTCATCATTCTGTGGTTTATCCTAAATTTGGTCTTTCTACAAATGTTACTGATGTCAGTACAGGTACCGTATCATTGCCTACCAAAGTACAATTCCACATGATTCACCTGACACATGCCTGATGACAACTCTTTAGCCCATCATTGGTCATATGTTCATCATTAACTTGTGTGCTGTTAAAACCACAACTCCCCCCCCCCCACTGATTTACCGGTACTAGGAACTTCCTCACTCTTGCAATTCCAACACCTCTCTGTTTACACCCAAACTGTTGGACTCTGATTATGGTGGTATAGATGTAAATTAATGTTGTGCATCGTGTCGGGTTGACCAGGCTAACCCGACCCGAAACATTAGAGATATAAACCGAATCCAAACCGAATCCGAACCGAATCCGACCAACCCGACCCGACCCTACAAAAAATAAGGTAAAGCTGACCCGAACCGACCCGACCCGAAAAAAACCCTGAATGTCTGGCTGGGACAAAGTGATCCCTTTTTGTGTCTGCCCTTATCCACGTGGCATATGAATTCTTTTGCAAAACCATAGTCTCTCTCTCTCATACTCAGTGGGTTGATCGAGAGTACCGGTATAACTCCGCTTATTGAACAATGATGGTATCACCACGCGGTATCATGAAAACTTACAATCTATCTATTTCAGCCGATCCGACTAAAGAAATTAATACCGTGGGAACTTGATAGTACACACGTTGGCCACACCACAATGGGCTGCGGTCACAGTGACTGTCAACAATATCGCATCACCTAAATATCTCAACTGTTTCGGGTTTTTTTCGGTTTATTTCTTTTTTTTGGCAAAAGATGGCTAAACCGACCCGACCCGACCCGAAAATGTAAATGCAAAACCAAAACCGACCCGACCTGACTGAAAAGATGGACAAACCGACCCAACCCGAAGTCAGTTTCGGGTCGGGTCGGGTCGATTTCGGGTCGAGTTTGCACATCATTAATGTAAAGCATAATCAGATTACTAGTGCAGTTCTCATCCTAACAGATTCCAACAAACCCTGGTATTGGAGTTTGACTGGATGGGGATTGGATAGGGGTTTAATGTAGCTTACCAGGCAAGTTCGAAATATAAATTAGAATATACTATGTACAAGTTGGTGAACAACATACTTAAGGAAAAAAAACCTTGGGTTTTGGGTTAAGGCAAAAAAAAGTCTTTGGTTTTTGGTATGGAGCTTGTCCCAAAAGTGGTGCGGCGACGCAGCTTTTTTTTTCTCCTAATTTTTTTTTTTTCTTCAAATGTCGGCTGATGTTGCAGATCATGCTTCGATCCCCTTAAAACTCTCAAAAATATCCTTCAGAGTGGAGCTTGAGGTGACCTCAGTAAGGCCATAAGGCTTGAGAATGCTGCCACTTACGATCTTGACCGACACAAACCTTCTTTGGGAAATTTTGATAGTCAAGATAAAAATCAGAGGAAACGGTAACGTCAGACCATACAGCGACATCGACATTGTGCATGTGCTGCCGGGCTGGTCATAAGTTTGCTCCCTTACATATTGCGCTAATTAAAAAGCGCTTACAGGTTCCAGATACACGACTATCACTCCCTCAGTCTGGCTTCCAGACGCACAATTACAAAATGACAGACAACACCGTCTGCAAATGTGCGCGCAGACCAGAAACCGGAGCCTTTTTCTGTTTGGCCTAAAGACATGAAAGATAATGGACACCATTTTCAAACATTCAAAACTTAAACTCCCAAAATATAATGCAATATTCTACATGTATTTGATTTTTAGCAAATAATAGTATCAAGCATGCTGTGAAATCTTTGCACCTAGCATGCCATCATTTTTGAGAAAAGAGAAATGTCATCATCTCCTCGCGATGGTTAGGACTAAAGCATCACGCTGTCAATGGAAAACTATGCTTTGCATCGAGAAAAATGAAGACATATTTTCACAGTTTCTATAAAAAGTATATCTACTGAGCTGATATTTTGTCAGGTTAGTTTTTTAAAAACCTGCTTCAGATTTATTGTATTCAATCTGCAAAAACACCCGTTCTTTTCAAATGCTGTCCGGTGTCTATGTCTTTTAAGCGTGCCTTGAATTGTTTGATTCCCAACCATTTTTTTTAAAAACCAAGTTCTTTTCAACAATACGATGCACGGAGTATAAATTGAACCCTTGTACTTAATCTCAATATCATGATAACCTAATGTCGTGGAGGTACTTCGACATTGTAGGTTAAGTGCATGCTTATCGCCTAATCTCTTGTATTGCGATTAATCTGTGTACATGTATGTATGTAGCACATGTTTAATAGATTTGTTTCAATTTTAAATGTACTGATGAGTATCTTTGGAATTTCAATAATCACCAATTCAGTGGATAAGGGTATGGGATTACTGCTGCTGCTCCTAAAACTTAAAGCCCCCAGCTCAACCAATTCCCCCCCCCCCCTCCCAAAGAAAAATTGAAAAGAAAAACAAATTGTGATTGAATGCCTGCTTATAAATATGTTTTATAACTTTGGTGAGAATTGTTCATAAACTGTTTGAAAATCTAATTCTTACCAATCATTTCTCTCTTTTTTAGCCATCCCAAAAGCAAACCTCACCAGTCTACTTCTTGATAATTAATATAAAAATAACCAAAACTTGAGTATTTTTTGTAAACATGGGTCATTATAAATTTTTCATCCAAAGTGTGACATTTTTCCTGTCCCTTTTTACCTCAGAACTGTGTAATTTGCCATTTAATATCATTAAGAATGCCATTAAACGTGTAGAAAGTTTGCTATTCACTTGTAATCACTTTTGGAGGACGACTGCTTTTAAATTTTAAAGGAGTGCATACATTTTTTTTACAAATCATATATTCCGTAACATCAGGGACAGGAAAAAGTGGACCCCAAATTTATAGAATGACCCACTACATGTATAGTATTAAAATAAAACACATTATGTGGAGTGCCGTGGCCTCAAGGTCTGGAGCATATTGAATTTGTGATCTGTGTGTAATTCTGCAGGTTGTGGGTTCAAGTCCAGCCTGGGGCTATGTTGCGTGTGCCCTTTGGGCAAGGCACTTTGTCACTCATTGCTTCTCCCCAACCGGGAGTAAATTGGGTACCTGTGAGGGCAGAGATGGTATACCGTGGTTGATTCTAGCTGCTTTGCGGTTAAATGGCAGCATCAAGCTGTATACTCCCCAGGGCACTGAAAATTTGGAATGGTCTTTGGAATGTTTCACTGGCCTAATGAGCAGGGGTAATAATGACTCTTGTACAGCACATTAGCACCTTGTGTGAAATGCCGAAGCATGCTCCAGTCCAACTTTTCAAAGGCTTTTCATCAACACCTGATACAGTGTCACAAAATTTGCGTCCATTGCGTCCAACAATAAAATCT